CGCTGAAGCGTCGACCATTTCTGGCCGGCAACTTTCAGCGTCATTAAGCCGCTGCGCCACCGCGTCCCCCTTCCTTTTGTAATTCTAACAGCTATAACTATTGATAAATATTTGGCAACCTTCTTAGAGATTTCTGACGAGTGGTCACCCAGGAGAAGGGTAACAGCCTCCTGGTCACAATACCAGTTAGAGTTATTAACAACTGGGAACATTAAACCTGATTGCCATTGGGTATACAATGGACATTTTAACAGAATGTGTAAGACAGATTCTACTTCTGAGTCTGAAAAGAAAGATGTTCAGCTTTCATATAGGAGACTTACATAACTACCTTCTAAAGAAAAAGATGAAAGGATACATATGTATTTATGTAATCAATCAATCAATCAATTAATTTATGTGGCCGCCCATCTCAAGTTCATGATTCCGGGCAGCTAACAATATTTCAAAAACAACAAAGCATAAAACATAAAAAACAAGAAATGACAACACATGTATAAACCGCAGCCGGGGTAAAAAACAAGCTCATTGATGACAAATCAATACAACCATTGTATGGGCTCAGCCACACCTTCTGACCCCCAGGCCCAGTGACAGAACGATGTCTGTAAGGCCTTGCGAGGTGGTCCCTCAAATAAGCACCAACATCTTAAATGGGGCTCAGAAGTGAGAGGAGCACATATAGAAAACGATAAATACAAGGACTGAGTTACTATTAAACCCTGCTTTCTTCACACTAAAACTGTCATGCTTAGCTTTCCTTTGTATTTTTTATCATTTCCATCTCTATCAAACCCTTGAGGAGCATCAAATCCCAGACTAAAAGACAGCAGGGGAAAAAAGTTTATATTTTATGAAATTGCTATACTTAAAGTTAACTAGCAAGCATTGAGTTATGATGGATTTATATTGCTAGATCCTAAGAATGTAATGCATCTCTCTGAAAAGAGGAACACGTGGTTCACATAGTATAAGAAACTATTACAGCAATGCTAGGCCATTCAGGAGATCACCAAGTTTGCCAATCATACAACAAAGCAGCAAGGAACAGCCATCCATTAAGCAAGAGACCATAAATAATTGCCTTCAGGGCCTACTTGAGATGAGACGTCTATCTACTTCCTCAGCTTGATGACTTCGATGTTTGGAATAAGAGGCAAGTCAGATCTCTTTTAACTGTGCCCAGTCATTCAATTTAAAACAGCATTTTCCTAAAGCAGCTTTAGAAACCTCCTAGCTTCCACTCTTAATTAGAGAGCTCTTAACTGGTCCAAGTAACTATTTTAAAAATATCTGCATTCTTCATGATATGCACATAACTTTAAAGATATCAGATTAGTAGTAGTGAAAGCATTATTTTCTGAAGAGTACGTAACAAAAACCTAACTGGGATCCCATAAGACTTCTTTTCACCAACCCAGTTTGGTGGAATTCAAATTAAGGCACATAGTAAGGAAAATGACCTGAATGTTCAGCTTATGTCAGCTTCACTTTGCATTTATAATAAACTGCTGTTATGGTCAAACAAATCCACTAATATCTCTACATCCATCTGTTTTGTCTTAATTAAGCATGGGTTTATGCCTGGTTACATTCCGAAAAGAGAAAAATGCTGACACAACATTTTCATGATCAAATGTCACTTCTATATAATTCTACAGACTATTTGTAGAATTAGCTGCTATTATAGTTCAATTCATAATGCACAAATGTAAGTACCTTCTTCCTGTCTTGAATTGCATATTATTCAACCCCGTGTTTCAAAGAACCCAAGGCTATGTACATGAGGCTTCTCATGAAACTTAAGCAAAGTCAGGCAGAATGGAAATAGATTAGTTCACACATTGCACTTAGCCATAAATAGGCTGTGCTGGTATTCTGTGATTATCCAGAAAAATTAGGATTCTGAATCAGCCATCTCTGATTTGATTACAGTGAAGCATATTGTCCAAGTGGACTAGATCCAGTTAACTGACTAAGCTAACTTATCTGAGTCAGCAGGTGGTAATGATCTTGGTTAACGACACAAAATTAGGCAGGTTTAGAATAGGTTAATACTTGGATAAGGGTCACCAGGGTTGGAGGGTGAACTGGGAAGTCAAACAACATCCTAGAAATAGCCAGTGGGAAGTCACCTTTGTATTGTTCCAAGCAAGCTACTTGGTTAGTCCAAGAGGTCACCCTGATTTGAGGGGTTATTTACTTTAATGTTGTGTATTACAAGTCATAGTGTCATTATTGCAATTTGGAAGCCGTGTCTCTCAGAAAATTGAAAGATGGAATCAGAGGCTGTACACTGGTCAAATGTTGTGCATTATCTACTTCAGCATTTTATGGTGAAGTGTAATATGCAACAGTGATTTGTGATTAGTACAGGGGTGTCTGCAGGGTATGATAAAAAAAGTCAAGATGGCAGTCATGATAGTGTGATTAAAGCTCTGACTTGTTATATGTGTCATGTGTGTGACACATATAAAAACCAGGTAGAACGTCAACTGCACCATCACAGATGCCATCTTGACATTTTTGGCCACATCCTGTGGATAACCCTGGACTGGTACAAAATCACTTAGTGAACTTCATAGCTAAACAGAACTTGAACTCAGATATATGGAGATTAAATGTGACACACCAGTCTCTAAACACCACAGGTTTTTATACAACAGAACCACAGGAAGATCTATTGTAACACAGAACTAACTACTGATGTTATGGAATAGTACAAAAAATATCCAATTAAATACACCTTTCTTTGGCCGATTACTTCAATAAGAAGAGGAGAAACTGGTGTTCGCCATAATTTTACTGCAAAATGGTAAATTAAAAAAGGGGTACAAATAAGTAAAATGTCATCCTGCACCTTCTTTTGCAAGCTTGGAACTACAACTTTTTGTAAAAAGAAGGTGCAGCTACAAGCTTTTTTCAGCCTGGTTCCTCCAAATGTATTTGGAATGAGAACCTTATTTTAGCTAAAGCCTTTGCTTTCCTATCAGCTCTGAGAGGAAAGAAATAGACAAAGTTATAACACATGCTCTCTTCCTTAGGGGAAGTACTCATATGTTCTGAAGCAAAATATAGTCATCATAATTAAGTTCAATAGCTTATGCAAATAATATATTTATGCAGGACTGGCTTCTGAATCTGTACGATGCATTCGAAAATCCAAATGGTTAAGCTACAGTTTAGTCATTCCTCAAGAACTCAAGTGTTTTGCTTTTGCAGCAGGAATGGGAAAGTCCATGTTTTCACCCTCAAAAAAATAAATAGTACATTATTCTCAAAATTCTATTTAATTAAGCAAAAATTTCTTCAAATTTCAGTCCCATTTAATATTTTAACAATATTTGGGGTTGTAGTTTGGATTACCGCCAATTATGAATTTAAAAACAAAACTAAAAACAATTAATTTGTTTGGTCTTAGCTCTTTCATATCAGAATTCATGACCCTGAAGCTTTAAATAAAATTCCAGTGCAGCGAGACGAGGAAAGTATTCACTATTTCATTGATGTCATTCTCCCCATCTTTGAACATAATCTTTTTTTTTTTTTAAGTAAACATCAAAAAATTAATCAAAATTGTTATTCTGTCAGTAAACATCTCACTGATTCACAAGATCTTATGGCTGATCTTTCCATAAGATAATAAAACTGTATCATCTGCATAGAAGTAAAAGTGAATTACTGTATTTCTTCCTCAAAGAGAGGGAAGAAAGAAACACACATCATTTAATTCCTGAACTAAATCACTAATAAAGTCATTAAAAAGGAAAGAGCCAATATGCGATTTTATTTCAGTTCCCTGTTGAATGGTATTAGTTTACAGAGGGCATCATGATGAGTAAGCCTCATCTGAATTTGGTCCATGGGAATTGAAGACATGGACAAGATACAGAAAATGAAGACTGGTGTTTGTACAAGTAACTTCCTTCGGAAATGTTATCTACCAATTGTATTAAATACTGGTCTAAGATGAATAAACAGAGACATCTGTCTTTCCTGATTTGTGCATATTTATGACTTCGATGATTTAAAATAAAACAGTTATCTATAGCAGAGTAACTATGCCTAAATTCTCCCTGCTTTGCTGAAAATATATTATTTATCAAACTAATATACCAAACTAATATGCGGCAATAGCATATACCTCTTTTTTAAAGATTGCTACCAGCATGCTTAAATTCTATCTAGTAGGTCTATGGCCAGTCAAATTTATATAACCAAAGATTTTACACCAAATTGGCACCCAGTAGTCTGGGTTTATTTTATATACTTCAGCATATAATTCACCTTCCCCTGTGGCCTTCCCAAGAGTAATGTGATAAGAATATCCACGATCTCATTTTCTGTAATGGAAAACCGTTTGAACATAATGTCGAAGTTATAGGAGATACCTATTTCCTTAGCTAAATCTCCTGTATTAAAGACAGAATTAAAGTGGCATATCTATTGGTTCTGGGAAACATCACTTACAATACTCTCGAAAGTCCATTGTGTCTATGCACCTTGGCCCTGCCTTCTCCCTTAGCGCAAATGCACTGATAGCTGCCACCACCTATCTTCCAGGGGACATCACACCTAGCCTTTAATTCCAGCAAGTTAGACATAGAGCCCTCACAACCTGTGGTGCCTTAGTAGCAATTAAAATGTTTAAAATTGAACAATGGAAATAATGTTTTATAGCGCCAGCTCCTGGATATATAGTGTCCAGTTATGTGACCATACATATCAAATCCTTCTTCCCCCTCCTAGAGACAGACTGAACTCACAAGAGACAAATAAAATCAAATTTATTTAAAAGGAGAGATAAAATACAAAACCCATTTTAAACCTTAAAGTTCAAATAATCAGTACAGGTACACGATACAGCAGTTTCAATCAGGGACTATAACTTAAAAGAGAATTACAAAAGCAAACCCAATGCTGAAAATGGTCTGCTACAAATGGTTCATTTCCAGCCAGAAACTCAGAAAAGATTCCGAGTTGTTGTTACCAATCATAAGAAATATTATAACTACATGTACACAGCATGAAAACAATGGATGCAGGGTGAGGTTTAACCAATCAATGTCATATTTATGCAGAGAAATAAACACAAATACTGTAACACCATAGAAAAACCACACTGAAAAACAAACCAATAACCTACCACAGAATTCTGGCTAAATGTTTTTAACTTAATTCTGCAGAAGACTCTTTAAACAGATTTTCCCTCTGCTCCAGTTTACTTGGATTTCTCAGTTTCCTGGAGATTCCAGATTTTGGGAGAGACGGTCTGCCTCATGTTTTTTTTTTCCTGCCTCTGTCCAGTAGCTTCTACTTTTGTTTTAAAAGGACTCAAACTTCTCTTTCTAGTCAAGAGAGGGCTTGGGGTATCTCTCTGTGCCTGTGTGACTGAGCAAGCATCTGTCCCTTGTGAAGAATGTCTGACCCTCTCTACTGGCAAGGACGGTGCATGTACAAAACCAGCACTGATTATTTTACATAATTTGACTTTTAATTCAATTGCTGAAACTAATTTATAAAACTTATAACTTTTAACTTGCTTGGGGCAATAAGAATTTCACCCAATCCAGGGGGTGGCTGGCCCTTGATGACGCTCCCCGAGCTACCTGACAATGTAACATCTATTCTGGGATGATCTTTATTTTCTATTTATTCAAGACTATCCAGAGCTCTGGACTGTGAAACTTTGGATTCCCAGACTATAAATAATTCTTCTATTGTGGATAGATCACTTAAATATGGATTAAAACTCTATATTAATGACCTAAGAACTTCTAATATTAAAGATGTATTACAATCAGCATTAAGTACTGTATCTGCACTTTTAAAACATTAAAGAACTTAGATATTTAAAAGGGATAAAGCAATTACAGGTAGCACTCAAATTATGACCGCAACTGGGACCAGAATTTCTGTCGCTAAGCAATACGGTTGTAAAGCGTGACATCACATGACCACATCGCTCAGCGATGCCAGTCCCTGCAGTCCTTATTACCTTCGTTAAGTGAGGATCGTGGGTCATTAAACTTCTAACAACCAAGTCAGTGAGGAAGCTGGCACTAAGTTGCAAGTCCCAGGTGGCTTGCAAGCAGGCCAGCAGGCAGGTAAGTGGCTGCTGGCAGGTGGGAGAGGGAGCAAGGGGCGCGCCGGTTGCCAGAGAGGTGCAGTGCAAGCGCAGCAAGGCTCAAGGAGGGTGTGCGAGGGTGCACGAGTGGTGGGGAGGCATGACATGAGTGTGGCAGGGCTTGGGGTGGTTGCTGTCGGGTGGGAGAGGGTGCACGACTGGCCGAGGAAGGTGCTCGAGTGGCTGGGGAAATGCGACACGAGCACAGCGGGGCTTTGGGTGGCTGCTGCCAGGTGGGAGAGGGTGTGTGAGGGTGTGTGAATGGCCAAAGAGGCGCAGCGCAAGCACAGAGAGGCTCAGGGAGGATGCATGAGGGTATGTGGGTGGTGGGGGAGGCATGGCGCAAGTGCAGCGTGGCATGAGTGCAGCAAGGCTTGGGGAGGGTGCGCAACGGTCTGCAGGTGGCCAGTGAGGTGTGCCGCAAGTGTAGAGGGGCTGGGGGAGGGTGCGTGGGTGGGGGAGATTCATCCAAGCAACTTGCGACCTTCCCTGCCAATTTCCCCATTGACCTTGCTTGTGCGAAGCTGGCAGGAAAGCTGGTCACAAATGACGATCACATGACCGCAGCACGCTGCAACCATCATAAGTGTGAGTTGGTTGCCAAGCACCCAGATCACAATCACATGACTGCTGAGGTGCTGGGAAGCCAGAACTTTGAGGATCAGTTGTAACCACCACTCATTCAGCCCCATTATAACTTTGAATGGGTCGCTAAATGAGTGGTCTTTAACTGATGACTACCTATATAACTAATTAGTCATTCCAGGGATGTTTATTTTCCACAGGGGACATATACTGCTGAAATGGAATAATTTGATTTTGAAATGATTGAACAAAATGACTCAATAATAATAAAATTGGTTGATGACCACTGTCTCCATTAGGAGAATTAAAAAATCTTTAGTGATGTTCAACCATAAATCTGAGAGCCAGCAGTAATTAACTTGACTAGCCCCATGTACTGAATAATAGGTAAAATCTTCATTAATATAATCTAGACATATACCACTGACAACCATGTAATTAAATTTATTAAAAAGTATAGTTACACTTCGAAAAAGTAGTCTACGTGATGCCATTATGATTGCTTTTGGCATCTCTAGATTTTCTTGGGGGAAGAAACCATCATCCATATCCACCTCCATATTATTAGTGAAGACCTTGTTGCTGGTTCTTGCATAAAAATAATCTCTTAAAATATCAGCAGCATAAGGGTATGTATCTTTCAAAATTGCATCTAAAGACTCAAAGAAAGCCCTGTATATATCAAAGTAATATTTAGACTCACGTGGAGGAACACAGAATACAGAAGAGGTGATTATTTCAAAATTACAGACAAAACTGATTTTGTACCTCTAAAAGGAATATATACATTCACACGTATCTAGAGACAATCATTCCAATGGGAACAAATAGACAGAAAGGTCAGTTGTAGACTTCCAGGATCCTGTTTTCTCTTCTTATGTCATGGCTCTCAACTGATAGGGCTGATGGCAAAACTATATACACTCCCAATTCTTCCACCTTCAACACAAGCTTCCTCCCTTCTAAGAAGGGGCAGGACTGAAACTTGAGACTGATATAAAGGTGACTAGGAATGCCTATTTACTGAAGCATTTAGACTTCATTGCCTAAATGATACCTATCAAAACTAGGGTTCTACAATTCTGTAAAATTACTCCCATCTAAACTCAGGAAAAAATAGAAAATCCAAGACCCATCCACATGTATGAATGGCTCCATCTGATTTGCATCCTTGCTTAAACCATCCATTCCTTGTCATCCTCAAAAATATTTGTGGGATTACCTATCAAAAGGTTGCGCTTTACCACTAATTTAAATAAATGTAGTTTCATAAACCCCTTCATGGATCACTGCCTTGTCGTGGCGAAGGGGCTTGCGTAACTCAGTGA